ATGGAAGCTGAACAGAGAGATGACATTAAGGTTCACCGGTCCCTACTCTCTTGATACTTATATTTTTATGTGTATTCCACGTAAACCAACCAGATGCAAGGAATATTCCCAGTCTTGAAAACTAACATGCGTGGGTAATTTAAAGGAAATGAAATTCTCTTACGAGTTCCCTCTTAAAGGTAACACTCAGATAACATGCTCTTGTTCGTCACAGGGTGTCGCTTATTGGTAACTGTTTCCATTCAAATTATTTCACCTCCAGCTAGTACTCTGTCAGCTCTTTGTCGCTATTCTACGAGTCCTCTGAGTTTCATTTCCTACTTTTTCTCGAGTTGAACGGGAAATTCTGGCACCGAGAACTTGTCGATTAAAGTATCTCAGACATTACTTAAACAACAATTCGCTTGCTTGATCTGAGTCAAGACCTAGTACCAACGTCTGATTATTTTTCTTGGCTGAGGTGTATAAAATTTATCAATGTCCGGAGGTTGGAGTACTTAAAATAGAAATCGTTGCCAAAATATTTACGGAAATAAGCGGAAACGGCTGTGTTTCTCAGAATTTTATAGGATGTGGACAAGATTAAATTGCATGCGCTGTGATCGTGATCGCTTTGCTTCCTAAAAATGTAATTATAATTAGTTTCTTGTCGTTTGCGTGTGTTTGTTGCACCAAGGCATTGTTCAAAAATGCTACCGCCCGTAACTTACCCATTATGGCGCCAAAATGTGCAAGACGTTACGAAAACAAAGGTATTACAATAGCGTCGCATCATTAATTATCGTATTATTTCTATTTCCATTGGATAGAAACGCTTGGATGAAAAGGAAGCCGAGTTAGCATGCGCACGACAGGCGCAGGCAGAAGTGCGGATGCGTATGGAGGAGTTGGAGCGACGCCTCATAGTTGGTGGACAGAACCTCCTTGAAAAGGAGGAGACTCAAGCGCGGTTACTTGAACTCTCAGCGGAGGAGTTGCGAGCTCAGGAGGAGAGAACCCAGAACTTACGAAGGCTGCTGAAAGAGAAGAAGGAGGAGCGGTTCAATATTGAAGAGAAATACAACTCCCTACAAGTTTATTTTTATTGAAAACCGCTTTCGCTACCTCTCGCCTCTTTGCATCTGTCTTCTCCTAATAATTCTACGTTGATTTCAAATGCATTCATAATATTTACCGATAGGAATGTGAAATTCACTGCATCCCTAAAGAAAAGTGAAGTTATATTCTAGTACGTCGGTTTTGTATCTGAACTCTAATGGTTCCGTAAGCATTAAACCCATTTTTCTACAAAATTTGATGTAGGTGATCATAAATTGTTGACGAGCAGAAAATGTCTACATTTCCAGATTTGTAGAAACCCATTGCCTTTAGCATTTTGTTCATGGTTATAATAGGAGGAGGCTGCTGGGAAATACAGAAAGCTTCAAAAACTTACAACCCTTTACGTTCAAGCCAAGACCGAGTTGGAGGACCTGCGATCTGCAAATGCACGCGAGATGGATGATATGTTGGAAGACATTCGTCAACTTAATCAAGAATTGCAGCTGCAAAATCTCATAATTAATCACTTCATCCCAAAGAATTTTCAGGTGTGTCAGTTCCTCTAATGCATGCCATAAATAACATTGTTGCATGTCCCAATGATTGCAAATCCTATTGTCCTGAATATTATGGGCTTAAGTAAGAGGTTGCAATCTTAAGGTCCTACAAAACGCTTCTTTATTTGTTTCCATAGTAAGCATCTTAGTAGTTTAGCAATCATGTAAGTAAATGCGATTTTTCCCTACATTTACAATTTGCGGTTTGCACAGCGGTATTCGAAAACGAGCATTTCACTTGGAGTTTTCGAAATGTGTTTCGATGAGATGTCAATAACTCGTTGGCATGAGCAAATTTAGGGGTGACAGTGGGAGGTCTTTCATTTGTGCCTGTCTAATAGACATGGAAACAAATCTATTGATTACATCTTTACCTCTACTTTGTGCTTTGAGATGTGCTAACAAGTGTTTGGATAGTTGCTAAAAAGGCAAAATAGTTTGAAATTATTCAATAGTATTTTTGGAGTTTGCACCCTCACTGCCCCAAACGGGGTTTAAACTATCTTCTACTGCATCAGAGCATCATTGAACGAAATGTCCATTGGAATGATGAAATTGGTGAATGGCAACTGCGCTGCATCGCTTATGCAGGAAACAATATGACTAGGCCAAAAGAAAAGGCCAATTTGGTAGGCCATTGCCTTTTGCATACCACCTTGAAAGAATGTTTGAGTCCCACATTGGGCAAGTGGGCACCCCTGTGGGAAATTGTTCGTCAAAGTTGCATTTTTAAATAATTTTTTATTTTGCCTTTCATTGTGTTTCTTGTGCACGCAATGCGCATGTGCGTTGTGGTTGATTTTACAGGACTATGGAATCTTTTACGGCTATGATTTGAACTAGAATAGATTTTTCTATCCATTTTTTCTATCCATGTGGAATCCGAAATTGCTTCCAAAATTTCTGGTTTCAAAAAGAGCTTTTTAATAACCGCAAGGGAGTGAACAGTTTATTTACAGTTAAAGCTAAATTCTCGAGGACAATCCTCCCAAAACAGTTATATCTAATTGCTTACATACTAGTATGGTTCCATCATTGCACAAGCAAATAGGACAGTTTAGTGGATGACATCTAATTTCTGTCAAAAAAGGGGTAAACACAATGTGTGTTTAAATCCTCTAGGTAATCCTGTCTACTTCTTGCAGTAGAGAAGTTAGTGACAGTTTTCACGTGCTGTTTTTCAGATTCAATGGGTGTTAAGACTTGACTATTCTCTTCCTCTTTTAGGCAGGCGATGACAACTTCCTGAACGTTTATCTCAGATACAGTGATATTGATGGGGGAAAAAAAACTTCGTATAAAAAGAAAAAGAAGCGGGGTACTACCAATCGTGTCTTGCAGAGCTCTTCCTCACAAACACATGTGTGATTTGAAAAACCGATTGTTGTATTTGGTGCTATCTATTGCTTGATTTTGATCAAAACTACCAGTAGCCTAAATTAATGCTGAATTTCTTGAAGTATTGTTCCAAGATTTTGGTGGTTCGTTGGAGCTAAAGCACCTATCAGCACCCACTTTGAGTTACTTGTTCAGCACAAGTGAGCTTGTCAGGGGAGCATCGGATTGCCCACTGGTAAGAGGGTTGCCTATAATTAGCCTGCGTCATACCCAGACAGGAGGAGGAACCCTCCCTTACCAAACGTCCACCACTACAAATTTGATCTGTGGTTGAACCAGGAGACATTCCACAATGATTGAAGAGTTCGATTTGTCTCTACTCTTTGCGCGGAATGTATCTGTAGTCATTATTGGCCCTTTAATTTGATGACTCCTAATGCTGTCTTATCGGATGTCACCAAATTCACAAGCATCGATTTATAAACAACGACCATTTGCTAAAATTAAGTCTGCATGTCTCTTCACTCTCGCTTTTCGACAGGGGATGGTATGCATTGCTTAAAAGTTGCCCTGAGAGCATGGGGTTTTTCGCGTCTCATATGATTGGCAGACGAGAACAATTGTTGTCCATCTTCCTCATTGTTAAAAATGTTAACGATGAATGCTTCTACCGGGTTTGACTTGTTAATAGTTTTCTTCAATGTTCCTCCCTTTTTACTCTTAACTTTGCTAGGCTAATGGAGCCCTTGTTTCATCTCCAATTGCATGGTATCTCTGCTTGGTCTGGCAGACGTCTAAAGTGCCTTTGGATTTCCCTACTTTTAGGGCTGATTTTGTATCCCTTTCTCTCAAATTAAAAGCAGTCTGCTTTGTGAACGATCCATCAAGGGCGATGTCATTGTGCTTAAACGAAATGGCTATCTTGTTTAGCAAAGTTGTAGGTGTTTCATCTTGAGGTGAGAATATTTG